GCCAAAAAAGAACCGCCAAAAAGAAGGATTGCCCCAAAAAAAGAATCGCCCAAAAAAAGAGCCGTCAGAAAAAAAAAGCCGCCAGAAAAGAATCACCAGAAAGGAACCGCCGAAAAAAAAGGACCACTGAAAAGAACCGCAAAAAAAAAGATTTAACCGAAGAATTGTAACTGAGAAACTTCAATATAGCTTTAGACAGAAATGTTTACCTAAGGTTATTTTAAGTGAAGAAACGTCTGATTCTTCATCCGAAGAGTCTGTGTCATATATGAGTTGGTGACTTATATTATCATTTTCGCTTATTGTTTCATCAAATAGTTCGTTGGACCCTTTGTTAATTGTGGCGTTAATAGATTCAGCATCATCTTATAATTAGAAAATCATTAAACAATCATTCTAATCATTACATATTATTTTAATATCTAGATCATTAATATTAATTAATATAGTCTTAAAAGTTTTATCAAGAAATATAAATAAACAGTAAATATTGGTTAGTGAAATAAGAAAATTAAAACACTCATCAATATATCGATCAAGATTAAGTTTTAGATAATAAATTAATAAAATCAGTATATCAGTATCTTATAATTAGTAAAATCATTAAACAATTATTCTAATCATCACATATTATTTTAATATCTAGATCATTAATATTAATTAATATAGTCTTAAAAGTTTCAGCATGAAGTATAAATAAACAGTTAATATCAGTTAGTGAAATAAGAAAATAAAAGTACTTATCAATATATTAGCCATGATTAAGTTTTAGATAATAAATTAATAAAATCAGCATTTCATTATCTTATAATTAGTAAAATCATTAAACAATCATTCTAATCAACACATATTATTTTAATATCTAGATTATTAATGTTAATTAATATAGTTTTATATATTTCATTATGAAATATAAATAAATAGTTAATATAGGTTAGTGAAATAAGAAAATAAAAGTACTCATCAATATGTTAGCTATGATTAAGTTTTAGATAATAAATTAATAAAATCAGCATTTCATAATCTTATAATTAGTAAATCATTAAGCAATCATTCTAATCATCACATATTATTTTAATATTTAGATCATTAATGTTAATTAATATAGTTTTATATGTTCATCATAAAATATAAATAAACTATAAATATCGGTTAGTGAAATAAGAAAATAAAAGCAATTTTAATATATTGGCCATGATTAAGTTTTAGATAATAAATTAATAAAATCAGCATTTTATCATCTTATAATTAATAAAATCTTTAAACAATCATACTAAACATCACATATCATTTTAAAATTAAGATCATTAATGTTAATTAATATAGTCATATAATTATCATTTTGAAATTTACTTAATTGTTAATCTATCTTATAGTATCATTTGTTAGTTTTTATAAAGATATTATTATTAATAAAACAATCTACTTTTTTTTAGAATTATAATTTAATATTCATTTAAACTTCCATCTATCTGATGACCAACATTTTGACAATTTTATTATTCTTTTCTTTATCTTATATCTGATTTTATAATTTTTGATTTTATATATTTCGCCTTTATATTAGCCTATTATATTACCAGTGAAAGACATTTAAACTAATTAGTAAATTTATTTTATAATTGAAAGAACAGCAAAGACAATGCCTAATCCAAAGTGAATCTCTTTTTTCTGTGATCAATTACAAATTAAATTATTTATATTAAATTCAATTAAGTCTACCAAAAAATTAAATGCAATCAATATTTATTATATATTGTATAATTAAAATCAATTAAAACTATTATATAATTAATTAAAACCTAATTAATTATGAAATAATTGTGATTAAATTTGATTTTTTGTATAAAGTACTGCCTGATGTATGTTAATTTTTAAACAGTGAAAAATTAAAAATCACATGTATTTATTATAATTAATAATATTAATAGTAAATATATATTATGAAATTCAATTTAAAATTGCAATTAATTGGCCAATTGTAACTATACCACCAATCAATTAATTAAGTTAAAAAATTGCAATTAATTGCCCTAAAATCAATTATTTGGTAGATCTGAATTCAATTGTAATAAATATAATCTCTCACTAGTTTTAATATAAGTATAATATTATTAGTCTCTGCTGTTGGTTAAAAGTACTTTAAAAGTTCATATCAGCAGATTTGCAAAATTAGGATTAAAGAGTATAAAAATAATTTAAGGAGTAATTAACTATAATGATCCAAAATTTTTGTATTGTTATTATTAATTATTCTTTAAATTATACATAAATATAATAAAATAAAAAATAACTAAGGTTAACCAGGGGGGAAATCCCCAGTTACACATAAATGATCGTTATATAGTTTTATTTTTACATGTACCTCTGACAGATGCAAGTCTATTTTGACAGCTGTAAATGATCGGAGATTTAATTTATACAAATAAATAGGGGTTCGGTTT